AGATGCTATGTTAGAATTAATCAATCACGCTTAACGAGTCGATAAACTTCATGTATCTGTAGAAGCGACAGCTAGTCTCAAGTCTAACCATGACCAAATCTTATGTATAGACATGTATAGTATGCACTTAGACTATAAATTTAACCAATGAATACTGGCTTACACACGCAACTATAAACTTATTTACGTATTAAATTCATGTAAAATGACAACAAATATTTATGTATTGATTTAAGTGCAGTTTTTACCTGTGGATTCAAACAAAATTTTAACTATAAACTCAAGTATAAACACAAGAAATATTTCCGTTGACTCAAGTATAAACTCAAGAATAACGAATGTTTAACTATAAAGGCAAATCTTGGTACTTTCACTAATTGGGTATAAATTTTCGATGCCTAGGATTTAAAGATTTCATTTTAGCTTTAATTGAAATCTAATTGATTACAATTACTATTTCCACTAAGGAAAATATTCTGGTGTATTTCAAATAGAAATTATATAGATCGGAATCTCAACTTTTTGGCCGATTTCAGAAAATTTTCTTAATTTTTTTTATTGTTTAATCATTAATAGTTAATAGACTTTAATTAACATTAGCTAAAAACATTTTTCTATTTTCTTTAATCCAAGTATGTGACCTTTTCATAATAATGACACGTTTAGGCTATTATAGATGAAAGAAAGGGAACAATTAAAGTGGAAAAACAAAAAGAAATATTTTAAAAAGAGAATAGTAAAACGACTTTAAAAATTTTTCAATTTTGGATTCCTAAATTTCGTTTCCACTTAATTACAATATTACATCCAGAAAATAGTCTAATAAAGAATTTTAAACAAATTTAAAACCATTATAAATTATTATAATTAAAATTTAAAAAAAATGAAAAAAATCTTGTAAAAATACATTATTCATCGAGAAAAGCTTATTTCTTCAGACAATAGTATCTTTAATATAAATTATTTACCAAAGTAATTAAAAGCTTTTCTAATTAAATAATGTCATAGTTTCATTTCATTTTTATAGTTTACTATTCTGAGCAGATTTTCATTTAGAATAGTAAAAGTTTGAAAAGAAATAGATGATTTACATTCTCCAAGGAATCCTACTTTTAAGTAAGTAATTCTGGAAATAGAAAGGAATTTTTCGAAATTTCATGTAATTAAATAAGTGGCGGGGTAACATATGTAAAAAATATTTTCTACCAAGATTTTCTAAAACAAAAAAAATTGCAAAAATAATTTTATTCATTTGTGATTAAGTCCTGGAAGTTTCATTAAAATCCGAGAATTATTTGATTTTTGCAATTATTTCCAAATCAATGTGTTTTTACCGAAAAAAATGCGCAAAAAAGTTATTGTAATTATTACGTCCCCTAATGACATAAACAAAACAAGATTTTAAACCAAAATTTCGAACGTGCTTGAAAGGATGAAAAATTTAAAAAAAAATAATCAAGAAATACTTTGGTGTTTCATCTTAATAATAACATAAACATTTTGACGATAAAACTTTTTTTTTATTAAGTTCATTATGGTTTGCTGTTTTACCGCGAAAAAGTGGTGGTGACGAATATAAACACTACCAATTTTACTTATAGAGTCAAGTATCTTAAAAATAGGTTTTGATATTAAATAATCCCCAAAAAGTTGATTTGTTTTAAAAGTTACCCACCTGCCTAATCCTCAACGTTGTCAAATAGAAATGCTATAGGCTACTATAATTGCAATTGCTTTGCTTTTCTTATTCATTTTCTAAATTTGACGTCTACATGTCTTTATTCTGTTCAACAGAAAATATTAATATTTTCCCCAATGAATCAATGACATTCACTCGATAGAAATATACACTTAGTTCGAGAATGCCAAACGAGAAAATGCAAACGGGAAAAAAGGACAGGACTAACGATCTCAGCTCTGGAGAAAACGTCGTTTCAGCATTTGGTTTTATTCAAAGATGTCTCTTTCCCAGAGATAATTGAATTCTCTTTATCTTATGCCAGAAAGTCACAAGAACTCGTTATCACACATCATAAAGAACTCTAATTTCATAATCTAAAATAGCTCGACTGGAAGAGTCTTAAAGAGAGATTATGATGGCTCGTTCATCTCTTAAATCAGTTAAATAAAGTTAAATGGATCACAAACTTTGCGTCGGTTTTAACACAATATGGAACGCAAAAGCTAGAATTTTAAACTTCCTTTGATTGATGTTAAGTAAACAAAAGGATACCATCTCGAAGACATCAGTGTTCTTCAAGAAAAGCCGATTCCATGTAAATACAGCACGGTTCTTTTATTTGTGCATATACCAACCGGGACGTCATGAGACCCTAAACAGATTGTGACTATGTTAGTCGTTGGTATGATGCTGAACAAGAGTCAAAATTCTCTACCTAGATGAAATGGAATGAAAGACGTGATGGCGCCTACTCTGAATCCATCATATAAATTCGGGAGGTGGAATTAGTAAATATTAAACACTTTAAATACCTCGTTGTAGGTATCACTTAGAAATTTATAGAAGATAAGGAAATTGAACATAGAATTGGCTGTGCTGGGAGAAGATTTGCCCAACTCCAAATATTGCTAGTAAGCCAAAGCGTTTACCTAGAACTCGAGTCAAGTTCTTAAATAGTTTCATCAGATCGAGACTTTCAAATCAATTTCATACATGGCACCAAACCTTTTTAGAAATATCAAAACTGTCGGCTGTATAGAACCGCGTTCTCAGATCGATGGTTAAAATAGGCTTCGAACGAGTGAAGCGTGTAGGTCTTGTGACACTATTTAGGGTTGCGTGAAAAAAAAAAAAGGCGAGAATTAAAATTAGGTGATAAGATTTTATTATCATTAGCGAGGAAAGTAAGGTCGCGGATGTGTCGGATTTCAAAAGGCTTCCAAAAATGGAAATTAATAATTCTTCCTGACCGCGAACGAAGAAAAACCCTTAATGCGGATTTATAATTATCAAGGAACCTCAAACCCCGACAGGCCCACCCCGGTTTTGGTCGGCGTCCATATAAGCAGAGTCGCAACGAGTAGTTAAGTTGAGTTGGCAGTTCGAAACTGGGCAGTTGGGGTTGGAGACAGACAGGCAAGCAGTTGCAGTTTTCAGTTGAGCTGAGAGCTCTGAAGACTCGCCTCGCAGGAAGCTGACTTAAGATTCGCGCATTCTCGACCTCAACTTCTAACCAAGAACAATTTATTTTTGAAGAACGACTTAGACTCACACCACCAAAACAAGTTTTACGAATATCGCCTGAAGATACACCAAGAACCAGTTACTTAAAGAACAAACAACTTAAGATGTTAAGACTCGCCTAACAAACACAAAGTGTCACGAATCCATATAGCGGTTTGGGAGAAAGATGCAGTCCTGTATTCAGGAACCAGATATAAAATATTGTTATCCTTTTTTTAACACATTTGAACTTTTCGAGTTATTAGTTCATTTTCTTTTCCATATACTTGTGCGGTGTTACCCTTGTCCGGTCTCAGCTTGCATTACGGCCCGGCGACTGATTGATTTCGTCTACCTAAGATCAAATCACAACGTGGGTAGATTAGACTAGAAATCAAAACAGTTCTAACCAGATTCCCATCCGACTCAGCAAAAGGTTAGAACGTCACGTTTGGTGCCGCAACCAATTCCAAGTCACATTGGTCGCCACAGGACAGGATAGGACAGCGACGGCGCGGAGACAGACGGGGTGACGTCACAATTGGCGCCGCGACCAGGACAGCACGGCGGGCGCAGCCAGGCAGACGTCACATTTGGCGCAGCGACACCGGGGGATGTCACAGTCTCATCGAGGGTCAACCTTCTTCGAAACTCATAGATTGGCGTTACAGAATCACAAACAAAGAACTCTACCAGAGAACAGAAACCATATCACTTGAGGACTTCCAACAGCAGTAAAAACCAAAATGAATAGCACACGTAACTAGAACAGGGAATAATGATATAACAAAAGGCAAGTCTCAGTATTGGTGTCGTCTTCAGAATTCCCCTCTTCCACAGCTGATGGATACAGGCATTACTTCGCCCCATAACTTTCTTATTTTCATCTCCCACTAATCCTACTCAGTGGGCTTGGGTGGCTCCTCCACCTTCCTTGGTGACTCATCTGTGCCACCTTCCGATCAGATTAATTTTAAGTTGTTTACGCAGAAACGTTTCCCATTCATAGCCCGCATATTTACTTGCATGTGTGATCGTCCAATGTGTCAATCATTGTTGCCATTTGCCCTGTCGCAGTTTAAATCCACGTCAACCCTATGAGTTCATTGTTCAAAACCCGAACTCACAATTCAGATGGCTGTCTACATGTGAATTAAAATCTTCAATTTTTTCCCCTTTAACATATCGCTTATTTTATTAAAAAAAAAAAAACTACCAGTAACAAATAGTGTCACATCTCTCCCTTACCTTTCCTGTCACACCGGAAAGAGCGATAACATCTACTGGGCTTGAGAAAGCTATTTTCCTAAAAACGTTGTTTTAAAAGAATTTGTTTTATAAATTTCAACCAACAGACGCACTGGGTGGTTTTCTCGGTTAATGAATTTCAAAAATCTCCTTATAAGATAGCATATCAAATTATCATTACGATTACAATGAAAACTAAAACAAAGACAAGGACCACTTAACTATAGAAAACAAACTACAACCGAGGAAGGTTGAAGAATATAAGAACAGAAACGTTCGGCTACACTTCAAATAACTCTTTCTAGAATGCAGTTGTAATATATATATATATATATATATATATATATATATATATATATATATATATATATAGAGAGAGAGAGAGAGAGAGAGAGAGTGATAAGATATAAAAAACAAGCGAGAGAAAGGAAGGTATGTGGAGGAAAGATTAAGAACGGAAAGAAACAAAGAGAAATTAGCAAATAAGCAATAAAATTTTAAAAAAGAAAAAAAAAAAAGGCTGTAGTTAACCGGGAGAGAATGAGAGAGAAACAGAAACAGTACTAAATTAAAGGCGAGAAAGCGAAAGAGAGAAAAGAAAAAGACTATGATGCCGAGAATGAGAGAGAGAGAAAATGGCAGATGAAATAAGAGCCAAGAAAGAAAGTGAAAAAAAGAAAAGACGATGAAGCAGAGGAGGAGAAAAGGGGTGAAGTAGCAGATAAGTGTTAATAGAAAGAGTGTAAAGGAAATGATAATGAAGCAGAGAATGAATGAAAGAAAGAGAAAAGAGAGAAATAACAGGCAAGAGAGAAGTAAAAGACGAAGAGACGAAACAGTTAAAAAGGGGGAAGGGAGATACTACTACTAATAATAATGAAAGGGGCAAAGAAAAAGAGAGGAAGAAAGCGAAAAGATAAATAAGCGACAGAAGAAAGGAAAAAACGAAAATGTAGAAAAGGCAGAGAGAGAGAGAGATAGAGACAGACAGACAGACAGAGACAGAACAGAGAGAGAGAATAAAAAAGAAATAAGGGGCAAGAGTCAGGGAGACAAATAAAAGACGAAGATGTGTGGATAGCGTAACACGGAAAGTGGAAGAGGTGACACGTGTTCAAGTTCCATCCTATTCTGTTGCATTCACTTTCGCGCAAATGACGATGTAAACAGTTGTGAATCAATCTCTTCTCCTCACTCCAGGTACGGATTAAATAACCAGGTTGACTAAGGTCTCTGTGGGCGGCAACCAGTTTAAAAGGAGGAAATTTTTGAATTACAAACTAGAGATAAGGCAACGGGCAACCACTCCACCATCATTCCCAAGAAGATATGCCACTTCAGAGATAATAAAGAAAAGGAATCTGTGGAGAGCCATGAAGGTACGTGGATTTTTTTAAAATATCACGTGCTGGCGCATTCAGCCAAGTTTGATTGTTTCGTTTTTACGGTTTATCAACCCTTTACGGGTTATTTAAAGCGAGAAAATATTTTTATACTGTAAGAAATATTTTTGGAGATAATACTGATTTAGTGATACAAGTCTGATTAATTAATGTGTAGCTGGTGGGGGGGTAGCGAGAGAAGATCCATACCTTCCCAAGGGTATTTGCTCGTAAGTGAATATAACAAACCCGACTGGAATTGGAACTCCGCTCTCCGATTAAAAATCCAGCGTCATTATAATACACCAACCGAACATCCAAGCTTGCAGCAAGTGGTATTCCCAAGCAGTCATTTATCAAAGTACTGACCAGGCTCGACGTTGCTTACCTTCGGCGATCGTACGCAAGTCCTCCACCCAAAGAAGAATAAAAAGGAGAGTTTGGGAAGGGGATTCAAGTGCAATGAGAAGAAAGTGAATAGTATTGGGAATATGAGACGGAAAGTGAGCATGAGATATGCCGTTAGACAGGTAACCAGTGTTTTGCGTGAGACAGTTTTTGTCTCCAGAAAATATCGCACGTATTTATTCGAATATTGCTGTTTGCGCTCCTGTTGTATACTTAGAGATTCTTGATAAAATCGAAAAAAGAATCAGAAATATTATTGGTCCTGACCTGGCATTTCAGCTTCAGCCATATTCCCAGCCTCTCTGTGCCTTTTCTATAAATACTTTCATGGTAACTGTTCGTATGTACTCTTCGCTTTGGTACCTAGACTTTATGAATTTACGTGCAATACTAGACTGACGGAGAGGGTTCAATTCGCAGTTGAATTGGATAGATTTAACCGTAAGTGCTATGCTAACAGTTTCTTTTCTCGCACTTACCGCTCGTGGTCTTATGTGGATTTCCAGTCAACTTTGATCTTCAAAAATTTAAATGCAATGTCAATCGTTATCTGTTATCTTCTTGATTCTTGTTCTATTGTTTTCGTTCCTTAATAACCTTTTATCTTTTCTCTATTATTTCTCACTCAGTAACTCCTTATGTCTTAGTGGCTTTAATACCTTGAATGGGGTGATATGATCTTAAAAAATATAGAGAAAATATAAAGAAGAACAATAAGATGCTGGAGAAGAGAAAGGAAGGAAGATCTGATTGAAGAGAGAGAGAGAGAGAGAGAGAGAGAGAGAGAGAGAGAGAGAGAGATTTCGTTTATGTGGGGGAGAGAAGGAAAGATAGTGAAAGGAAGAGGACAGTAAGAAAACCAGCGTGAATGCGATTACAGGAAAATAAACGTCTAGAATAAAAGTAGGAGCCAGAAAAGAGTCTCTAAAAGTGCAGAGATCAGAAGTCGAGAATATTCCTGCACAACATTAGTATAAGGCATGTGTTCATTTTAACGATGCATTGAAGAAATAAAGAATGGAAGCAAAAAATACAAAAATAGAAAAAAAAATTTTTTCTGATGAAGACGCGGGATTCTCCTAAATTATCTACATCCTCTCCTTTATTGTCATGTTCACAACGCTTCTGCCGTTGTACGCTACGGGCTTCTTCAGCTGATATACGTTGGAATCCTTTATTTGGTACATGGGCGCAGATTGTTCTAATTCCACGTGCCATACCTTTTTTGTTATCTCAGTTTCAGTTAATTCCCTTTAATAACTCAACTCTGCAAGTTTTTGTTCCATGTATTGAACTCCCAACTTGTTCAGTCAAGTCACTTTTGGATCCGTCAACCAACACTTTTGTGTTTCCTTGGCGACTAAATAAAGGGTTCGGTTCGAGATTCCAACGTCGAAGCGTATAATGGCTGAAATATCGTGACCATGGCAATAAAGATGAGGAAAGCAGTCCGAACGATGTAAATAGTTACACTACCTCTCCTCAGAAATATAGATAAATGTTTTAGGTTAGCTATGTTCTACTACTGATTTCTCTATTCGCTGTTAATATCCGGGGGTAAGTCAAAAAATTTATCCTCACTTTAGCCATAGCATCCCTATAGGTTTGTCACAATGCCTTCTGCTCATGCGTGCTTATAGTTGGTACTATTGTGGTCACGGGATCAAAGTTTGAGCTTGATCGCGTCAGTTCTCTTGCTGCGGTTACAGTGTAAACATGGCCGCACCACTAGCAGTGTGCAACAAGTTAGAAGAAAGACGAATGATCAGATTTCTCAGATTTCTTTTTATTCGACGTAGCATATCTATCAATTGCGCTGCATCAGGCATAGCCAACCTTTTTCGACGAGTTATGGCTCATCACAAAGACGATTTGCACTACTAAAAAGGTTCAAGGTAATTTGTCATTGTTTTCACTACAAAAGACCGTATGCTTCGGCATATGCCTTAGAAAGAGGGGAGAAATTTGTTCTTTTTTCACTGGAAGAAAGATTTTTCTAGAATTAAAAGATTGAAGTTTTAGTATAATATTATCACTGATGACAACGTGACAATAGTTACACTACCTCATGTCAGAAATATAGATAAATGTTTTAGGTTAGCTATGTTCTACTACTGATTTCTCTATTCGCTGTTAATATCCGGGGGTAAGTCAAAAAATTTATCCTCATTTTAGCCATAGCATCTCTATAGGTTTGTCGCAATGCCTTCTGCTTATGCGTGCTTTTAGTTGGTACTATTTTAGTCACGGGATCAAAGTTTGAGCTTGATCGCGCCAGTTTTCATGCTGCCATTAAAATGTAAACATGGTCGCTCTGCTAGCAGTGTGCACCAATGAGCAACAAAAAGCAGTGATTCAAAATTGTATAGAGCGTGCTACCTCATCAATGACAACTCACTGACTTGCCATTACCATCTTTTAAGCTTGCTGAATCTTGTTGTCAGTGGTGGAGGTTGAAGTGGGGTCCTGTTCCTTCTAACCGTATTGCATTAAAAGCCTCCAATGAATTTCAGTCTCCGACGCACATTCCATATAGGGGAATTCTTTGGAGAACACTGCTAGCAGAGCGGGCATGTCTACACTGTAACAAAAGTAATAGAACTGGCAAAATCAAGCTCAAACTTCGATCATGTGACCAACTATAAGCAAGCAAGAACAGAAGGTAGATTAACAAACCTAAATATATGTTATCGCGAAAGTGCGGATAATGTTTGACTTATCATATATATATATATATATATATATATATATATATATATATATATATTTATATATATTGTCATCCACAGACAGACTGTTTCGCTGTGTCACAGCTCATCAGTGTGGTAGACGCCCGGTTGCCTCTAGCTAAGATCGAAACCCGGCTGAATTGTTCTCATTCTATCACTTATACGTTGGCGCACGGCAGGGATGAAAGTGAATTTAAGCGTATTTATTTTTAGATAAACACAGTGACTGAGAGAACTCAATTCGATTTAACGAAGAGTCTTGCATTAACAGCCGTAATAGTCACTGTTTACAAACCCGCACTTCCTCCCCAGAGAGCTCAACCGAAATAAATTTTTCAGGAGCATATATATTGTCATCCACAGACAGACTGTTTCGCTGTATTACAGCTCATCAGTGTGGATAGACGCCCGGTTGCCTCTCTCTCTATATATATATGCGGGGGGAAATATAAACATAAACATTGATTGTAATTATGCACAGAAAAAACGCTGAAGATCTAAGAATGGTAAATTTTAATATTTCTAGCATCTGATGTGTCGAGATTCACAACTCACTTGATTTGATTTGATTTCCCAATGCTTTTTTTTTGGTCTTTGTCGCTGTTGTTTTTAATTATTCCACACTGTGACAACAGAAGATTTGTTAAGAAAAGGGAAACATTCTAAGAACCTGGATGAAAAGTTACAACAGGTTATAATGTAAATTCCTACTTCAGCTTTTAGGATTCATTATTTTGTTTTATAATAATTAAGTCTCTTATTGTTTTAGAAGTACTCGTAATAAATTTTATATTAAGTTTAGATAAATTGTTTTCAATTGTAATTGTGGTAGTGCTGGAAGGTAGTACAATATTTCTGTTTCTATTAAGACTATATCGTTCATTCTATATATCAGAACAATGTTGGGTAATTTAATGACAAAATTGAAAAAATATTATGTAATGCATTTTATCCTTTAAAAGGAGTTCATTGGATAGAAGTAATGTTCTTCTTGATAGAAATACGAGGGTAAGTCATAAATTATTCACACTTTCGCCATAACATATCTTTACGTTTGTCACACTGCCTTCTAATGCGTGCTAATAGTTGGTACTATTGTGGTCACGGGATCGAAATTTGAGCTTGATCGCGCCAGTTCTCTTGCTGCTGTTAGAGTATAAACATGGCCGCGCCACTAGCAGTGTGCACCAAATTAGAAGAAAAAACAGTGAGTTGTCTTAAGTGCCTAAGAAGTGCATCAGAGGCTTTTAACACAAGACGGCGACAGTACACTACCGCGTAGAAGTGTGTATGTATGCATTGAGAAGTTTAAAAGTGGCTGGACAAGCATGACGCACAAAGTAGGAGCAGAACGCTCGTTAACCCCCACCAATGACGAGAAGATACTCGAAAGATGGTAACTAGTGAACCGGCGAGTTATCATCGATGAGGTAGCAAGTTCTCTGTAGATTCGGCTCACTGCTGTTTGTTCTCTCTTGATAAACACTTCTACCCCAGCGGCCATGTTTACACTGTAACATCTGCAATAAAACTGATGCGATCAAGCTCAAACTTTGATCAAGTGACCACAGTAGTACCGATTTTAAGTATGCATGAGCAGAAAGCCGAGTGGTAACATTAAAGATGTGTTATGGTTAAAGTGCGGATAATTTTTACCTTACCTTGGTAGTTGCCCAGTTCGGCTAAGCAGTTAAGACTACATTTAAACTAGATTAGATCTTAATCATCTGAACCAACGTAACCACATAACGCAGAGTTTTGCCACAGTTGAAATTTTATTCCTTTCAGACTAATGAAAAGTAATTATTTCGAACAATTATGATGTCAAACGACCCCCTTATGGTTGGAGTAGGGTAACAGCTTAAGAGATAACCTCATCTAAAGTAAATTATAGATTATTCAAGCAAGTAAATTAATATTCGGTTTCATTGCCTTTTGAACCCCGAAGCAGCTATTCAATCTGTGAGCAAATTTTATTTAGTGTCAGCTCTATTCTAGCTTTCTATATTTTCGAACGACATGTCCGTTAGACAATCATGCTTTTGATTCTCGTGATAATTTTTATTCGACGTAGCATGCGCTGCATCAGGCATGACCAACCTTTTTCGACGAGTTATGGCTCATCACAAAGAAGATCCGCACTGCTAAAAAGATTCAAGGTAATTTGTCATTGTTTTCACTATAAAAGACCATATGTTTCAGCAAGAAACAGGGAGAGAAAGTTGAACTTTTTTTCACTGGAGAAAAGATTTTTCTAGAATTAAAAAATTGAAGTTTTGGTATAATATTATCACTGATGACAACGTGATTAACACATGTTACTGTGTGTAATTTATTTCTAATCTATGCATTTGAAAATTATTATGAACTCGAAAGACCTGTCAAAATTTAACGCTTTTCTTGTTTAAAATTTCTGATGAATCTTAATTCTTAACTTAAGTTAATGGTTGTAAAATCCCATGACAAATTCTACAATAAAATATCCGTAGAAATTCCGCTATAGTATTGTTAAATACTTGAGCTTAACATCTTTAAAGGTTATTGCAATAACACTAACAATCATGAAAATGAATGCTTACTAAAATGGATTAAAGAAGTGGGTACAAATACAAAGATTTGAAATTGACAACTTTTTTTAAGAAGTGGGTACAAATGAAAAGATTTGAAATTGACAACTTTCTTTAAGAAGTGGGTACAAATGAAAAGATTTGAAATTGACAACTTTTCCATTTCATTGAAACAGCCGTTAAACACTTTTATCTTCGCTTCCTTCCTTCTTTCTTTCTTTCTTTAGTTTACTCACTGAAATCAAGTAGTATCTTTTCTCCTTTTTTCACGCGATCAAAATGGAATAGTCCATTATTTATGCGGTATCGACGGGGGACGTTATACACTTCTTTCTTTCTTTCTTTCTTTCTTTCTTTCTTTCTTTCTTTCTTTCTTTCTTTCTAGTCCCCGTCTTGCGAACATTTCTTTTAATAATAATAATAATAATTTTAAAATAATTCGGCGCGCAATGTTATTTTATTTAAGATTAGCAATTGATTTTTTAATTTTTTTTTTAAAATAGAGTTAACAAAAAGAAAAGAAAATTACATTTAAATTTCCTTTGTTTTTTCAGGTTTTAGTCTGAAAGAAATTGACTCTACGACATTCGTGTACTGTGTAGAAAATGTTTTTGGTCGTCTATAAAAG